TAACTTCCCATTCTTGTGGTTATACATGATGAGGAATTACACTGTTCATATATTCATATATGAACATAGGAAAGTTATGTTGAATTCATTCAACTATCTTTCCCATTCCCATTCCCCCTCCCTTCCCTTCATTCCCCTTTGTCTAATCCAAAGTACTTCTATTCTTCCCTACCCCCACATTGTGTGTTAGCATCCATATATCAGAGAGAACATTGGCCTTTGTTTTGGGGGATTGGTTTGTTTCACTTAGCCTGATAGTTTCCAGTTCCATTTATATTCAAGCAAATGCCATAATTTCATGTTTCTTTATGGCTGAATAATTCCATTGTTTATATATATACCACATTTTCTTTATCCATTCATCTTGAAAGGGCACGGTTCTATTGGTTAGCTATTGGGATTACACAAATTTAAAAGCTGCGCAGCAAAGAAAACAATCAACAGAGACAATCTACCAAATGGGAGAAAATATTTTTCAGCTATATATCTGAGGAAGGTTAATATTTAGAATATATAAAGTACTCAAAAAAAACTGAACAACAAAAGAACAAGTAAGTCAATTAAAAATGGACAGGGTTGGGAATATAGCCCATTGGTAGAGTGCTTTCCTCATTTGCACAAGGCCCTGGGTTCCATCCCCAGCATGACCAAAAAAAAAGGACAAATGGGGCTGAAGTTGTGGCTCAGGGGTAGATCACTTGCCTAGCATGTGTGAGGCACTGGGTTTGATTCTCAGCACCGCATATAAATAAATAAAGGTCCATCAGTAATAAAAATATTTTGAAAGATGGACAAATGATTTGAACAGACACTTTTTAAAAGAAGAAATACAAAAGACCAATAATTGTATGAAAAAATCTCCCTATCTTTAGTGATAGGGAAATGGGGCTGGGAATATATATAGCTCAGTTGGTAGAGTGCTTGCCTTGCATGCACAAGGCTCTGGGCTCAATTTCCCAGCGCCACAAAAAATAAAAAATCACTGAACTACAAGATAATAAATTTAAAAAAAAAAGTGATAGGGAAATGCAGATCAAACCTACATTGATGTTCCATCTCACTCCAGTCAGTATGGCTACAATAAAAAATGTTGGAGATGATGTGAAGAAAAGGAAACCTTTATATGCTGTTGGTGGGAATGTAAATTGGTATAACCACTATGGAAAACAGTATGGAGGTCCCCCCCCCCAAATCTGAAAATACAACTACCATATAATTCAGCTATACTACTTGGGTATATATCCAAAGGAAATGATATCAGCATACAAAAGAGATCCCTGCTTATTGAGGTGCTATTCACAATATCCATGATATGGATTTATCCTAGGGGCCCATCATATGAATGGATAAAGAAAATATTGCATATATACACAATGTAGTATTATTCATCCATAAGATAAAATGTCATTTGCAGGAAAATGATGGAACTGGAAGACATCACTTTATGCAAAATACTAGACACAGAAAGACAAGTATCACACATTTTTTTCTCATGTGTAAACTAAAAGGAAAAAAGATGACCTGAAAGTAGAAGTGAGGCTATAAGAGATTAGGAGAGGTTGGGGAACACGGAATGGGAGGTGGAAGAAGAGGATAGGAGAAGGGAAGGGAGACAAAATCAAAGCTTGATATATGTATGTGTGGAAATGCCAGAGTGAAACCCATTAATTTGTACAATGTTAATAATTATGATAATAAAAAGTGTTGGGCTTAGTTTGTTGTTTTTCTAGTTCTTTTTTTTTAGAGAGAGAGAGAATTTTTAATATTTTTATTTTTTAGTTATCGGCGGACACAACATCTTTGTATGTATGTGGTGCTGAGGATCAAACCCGGGCCGCACGCATGCCAGGCGAGCGCGCTACCGCTTGAGCCACATCCCCAGCCCCGTTTTTCTAGTTCTTTGAGGTGTAACATAAATTTGTTTATTTGAGGTATAGATTATCAGGGATTGAACCCAGAGACACTTTACCACGGAGCTACATCCTTAGGTTTTTTATCTTTTTAAGTTTTGAGACAGTATCTCGCTAAGTTGTTTAAGGCTTCCCTAAGTTATTGAAGGTGTCCTCAAACTTGTGATCCTCCTGCCTCCTAAAGATCACAAAATTTTTCACAGACTCAGTGGTGTAGAGTAACACCATTTATTATTTCATAATCAGAAGTATAGGTACAACCTGGCTTAATTGGGTTTTCTCATTAGATTGTAACAAGGCTGAAGTGCTGTCAAGGCTGCATTCCTTCTGAATATCCTGTAAAAGAATATGCTTCCAATCCCAGTCTTAACAAAATGAGTTTCCTTAAACTTTCTATGTGACCTTTTCCATTTTAAAGACAACATGGTGCTTTTAAGGGCTCTTATGATACATTGGCACTCCACAAATAAATCAGGATAATGTTCTTTTTTTTTTGTACTGGGGACTGAAGCCAGCCTCAGTAGCTAAGCAAGCCCCTAAGCAAATCAGTGAGACCCAAAATAAAATATAAAAACGGGCAGGGGATGTGGCTCAGTGGTTAAGTGCTTCTGGGTTCAATCCCTGGTACCAAAAAGAAAAGAAAAAAATCAGATTTCAAAGGTTAATAAAGGGAAATGAAAACAATAGAGGGTTCCTTTATCTGGTGATAAGTACACCTGAAATAAGCAAAGCTTAAGAATTTTTCGGGGCTGGGGATGTGGCTCAAGCGGTAGGGCCCTCGCCTGGCATGCGTGCGGCCCAGGTTCGATCCTCAGCACCACATACAAATAAAGATGTTGTGTCCGCCTATACTTGAAAAATAAATATTAAAAAAAAAAAATTTTTTTCTTTTGTTTTGGTACTGGGGGTTGAACCCAGGGGCACTCGACCACTGAGCCACATCCCCAGCCCTATTTTGTATTTTTTTTTTTTTTTTTTTTTTTTT